GCAGCAAAGAGGGCACCTGGGGGAAGCCAGGTGGGGGTCAAGCAGCCTGGAAAAACTCAGCCACAGACGCAGGGCAGGCGTCAAGACCACCCCCCCCAGTCGCAGCCCCCCCATGAATCGTGAGTCCCAAGGGGCCGGATTCATTCTAACCTTTTTGCAAGGGAGGGGCACCCTTAGGACAAAACATGGAGAGAATACAGAACCTCTCCCCAGCCCTTGGAAAGGACTCTGTTCAGTCCCTGGTCTCGGCACCAAGATTCACGCTGCCCAGGATTTCCCCCTTGCAAATCAAAGTGCAAGGAGAAAAGGAAAATTTTCCAGGTATCCTGCCAGTTCCGCTCAGGGTCTCCTCAGGGCAGCCTTGCTCAGTGAATGATGGCCTTAGCTGGGGGGGGCGGGGGGAGACATGGCCGCGCTTGCGCTTCCACCCTACCTTGCTCGGTCTCGCCAACCAATCTGGAGAGCTTGGAGCGGATCACGGGAGTGACCGTCATCGAGAGGAAGAGAAGCCCGTAGCCTGTTGGCAAGAACGTCCGTCACGAGGCAGAGGGCAGGCACAGAGAACGGGCTCAGGAGTCTCGCCTGCCCCGCCCAGCTCCCCACTGGCCCAGGCCCCAGTTGGGAAGGGGAGCCCCCGGACACACGCGCCTCCCTGTCTGCCACACCAACAGGACTTGGCTCTGTGGCCGCCACCACACTGGGCGCCCTCGGCAGCCCGGGTGGGTGCTGGGTTGGGGGTGCACTGCCGACAGGCTCCTGCAGCACAAAGCTCTGGACCCTCTGTGGCCCCCGTGACCCAGGCCATCAGGAGGCCTCCTGAGGACCCCTTGGGGGACAGGCCGTCACTCAACGTTCGAGGGCCCCCGCCCAGCCTCCTCTTGGCCAGGTTGGAAGCCAGCATCACCTGTGAACATCAGGGGCGTTGTCCCCGCCAGCGCCATGGTCACCAGCCCCAGCACATTGGAGAGCAGGCCCACCTCGGCCACCCAGGTGTCCTCCATGCACATCTGGAGCAGCCGCAGCCCCGCCAGGCTGCTGAGGTAGGTCAGGTAGTGGGCCGCCGAGCCGTAGCCGATCAGCTCCGGCCCCCAGCAGAGCGGGGCGCTGAGTTCGTAGAGCACCAAGATCTCCTGCGCCCCGAAGTGCACCGTGACCACCACGAAGAAAGCGAGCGAGTAAAGGAGCAGCTTCCGCCAAGCCTGGCCCCGGTCAGGGCTGGCATACAGCCGATACACCGCCGCGTAATGGCGGAGTGTGAGCAGCCTCCGGGGCTGCTTCTGCGGCACCGACTCCTGCAGGACCAAGGCGGAGTAGAGGGCAGCGGCGAGGCTCGCCGCAAAGACCAGCCAGAAGGGCGCCAGGTAGCCCTGGGCCTTGCGCCACCGCCCGCCCAGGACACTCGCAGCCATCCCCGCCAGGCCCAGGCAGGCTTCCAGGATGGCCACCCGGAAGGTGCGGGCACGCCTGTCGCTCACGTCGGCCACGTAGGCAAAGCAGCTGGCCAGGACCAGGTTGTAGTCCCCCGAGAGGCCACTCAGCACTCGGCCAACCAGGAGGTATCCCACAGGCAGCTCGGCGTACATGACCGCCAGATAAACGGCCGCCTGCAGGGCCATGCCCAGTGCCGGCAGGATCAGGGCTGGCCGGCGTCCCGCGCTGTCGCTCCAGGGGCCAAAGAGGGTCACCGAGAAGAGCCCCACGAAGAAGCCAGCCAGGTTGAGATAGAGGTTCCAGTGGGCCACCAGGGTCTCCAGCTCCTAGAGGGGGAGAGAGAGAGCAATGGGAAGATGGCACCAGGAGCCCCCAGAGGACTCCGAGCGGCACAAAGGCCGCCGCTGCGGCACCGGTTGTCCTTCCAAGTCCAGGAAACGGGGGCTGCGAAAAGGGCCCCGGAGCCGCCTTAGGCCCAGAGGCCCCCAGCCGGCATCCTGTTTCGGAGGGGGGCGACGAGAGCCCTGCCACCGTCTCACTGCTGCTGCTGCTGCTGCTGCTGCTGCTCAGGGAGGAGTGCTCAGGTCTGCGTTCACACAACGCTCTTAACCTGCCTACCGAATTCTCCCCTTTTTGGAACAGCACAATGTAGGAACCCCGATCGACTGGGCTTGCGTAAGAACGTCCTTCAGGATTACAGGACGAGGTAACGGCCAGCCAGCAATGGCTGCCTGACCACGCTGAGAGGAGAAGCCAACAGGGCTGCAACGTGCTCCTGGAAAGCAGGGGCTGAGCAGGAGTTTTGCCAAGAGGGTGTGAGGTTTGACAGGCACCCGTGGGCAAAGGCTTCCAAGAAGTCTCTGAGGCCCATCGCTCCAGGGGAGCAATTGCACCAACCACCACCAAAGATCGCTGCCTGGGCCTGTGCAGGATCCGGCCCATTCCAAAACGCACGGAAGGGAGCAGAGCAACCCCCTTGGCCGGCCCTCCCGGCTCCCCAAGAGCAGCTGATCCGTGGCATCGGGCTCTTTCCGAGGCCAAGCGGGCTGCTGAACGGCCCAAGGAAAAGAAAACGGTCCAGCGGATGGGGCCAAAGGGCCCCAGCAGCCCGAGAGGGAGGGCCTTGTTCCCAACGTCCCCCTAAGGGACCCTGGATTTGACCCCACCGCAGTGAAACAAAACCACTGACTGATGGGGGAGGGGGAGGAAGAAGAAGAGTTAACTGAGCCAGGTTGGGGATGCACTTAGAGAGAACATATTGGACTAATCCTTCTGATGTTAGAGTAACAAAGTCTCCCTTTCAAGGCAGTTGGTTTTCATTATACTCTTTGTAAGGGTATTACCAGTTATTTGATCTGAATAAAAGCCTTTGGCTTTTCATACTGCATGATCGTTACAGGAATCAAGGCTACACGTGTTTGTATATTTAATTTTGCTTCTGCTACAAACGGAACAAGCTTCTTCGGTCCACACAGTACAGGTTTTGTGATTCCTCAGTGGACAATTATCCCAATAAACCTCCAAAACAGAGAATTACTTCCAACGGTTTTGTATGGATGCGATCTACCTCGAGGCTGGAAGGCGTCGTCTTAATATGAACGGCCGAAAAGGAAGTTTGCACGGGACCCAAATGCTGGACTTGTTCATGTCACAGAAGGTACCGGGTGGGAATTGGCCCTCCGAGGTGCCCCACTAAGGACACAGGGCTCCACCTTTGCCATTGAGGCCAGAGGGAGAGATGATCTCATCAGGCACATTGCATCGATTGGGAATAGGTGTGGGGGGCACTCACCCGGGTCGCTGTAAAACTCACGCACCCGAGGGACTAAGCCGTCGTTGAGCCGCTGAAGAATGCAATGGAACAGGAAGGGTTACAATCGCTGCATATCACACCCATCGCTAGCACAACAGTTCCTCAAATGCAAAATCAAATGTAGAAATGGCCTTGGACTTTCCACGCCGTGGAGTCAGAGTCAGCGCAACGGCCTCGCAGCCTGAAGGAACAACGCCGACGTTTGCCTTCGCAGGCTTTAATGGACCCTACAGACCGGCCGCCTGGTGCTCACCCCAGAGGGGCAGCAGAGAGAACAGGCGGGCAAGAAGGGGTGAACTCAGGTCACAGGGACAAGGGTAATGCGAGCTGGCAGCGGCCAGTGAGATGCCAAGGTCATGGCGTGCCGGAGATGTCCCCACGCAACGGAGACCCCTAACTGGGTTCGGCCCTGGGCCCGTGCAGGATTTGGGGTCCTTGCGTGAAGAGAGATTACGCCACAGCCCCACTGTGGGAATGAATGCGTAAAAGGGGAACAGGGAGAAAAGGCATGGCGGGGCTACTTTTGCCTTAAAAGAAGTAAGATTACATTCAACCTTTTAACATGTGTGCTGTGCTATTGTGTCATATGAAGAATAGACGCAGGGTGAACATTAGGGGCGGAGAAGACGGCTGGGCACCTGGTAGGTGAGCCTGTTGGCTACCCACAGTGAAAAAGCGACGCTCTTAGACCCAGCTGGTGACACTCCTTCAGCACTTGGACTGAGCATGCCGGAATGCTGGGGAATCCTGGGAGTTGAAGTCCACGCATCTGAAAGTTGCTGAGGCTGTGAAACACTGGCTTAGACTGCCGTGCTCATGACGTTCGGCCTGGTGATTTCCAGCCAAAAGCAGCCCCTCCCTTGATAGAGGGAGGCGTATCTTTCAAAACAGAGGTTTTGAATATCCTCATTCCTCGCTCATCTAGCTCCCCTGCCTGTACAAGGAGCCCCACTTTCCCAGGCGTCTAAGCCTTCTGCACAGAAGGTTACTTCACCCTGAGCTGGCTGCAGTTTGACAGGCTGTAGGTACAAGTTAATAACCTCGAGGCTCTCTCGTTACCTAGCTGAGAGGTGGAAACGTTTATGGAGCAACACAGCTTTGGATAGTGTCCCACCGGAGCAGGTATTTTAAATCTTTTCCTTCTTCCTGGAGTAATTACTGCAGGTTTTCAACACTGTCTTAGTTGCCCTGCATGGATGTGTAGAAATCACAATGTTACACCTTTAAAGCTTTTATTGACTGATCATGTGTCACCAAGTTGGCACCGACTCTTAGTGACCACGCTGATAGATATTCTTCACGACGATCTGCCCCTAACCTGGTGCCCCCATCACCACCATGACTGAGTCCCTCCGCCTTGCTGCTGGTCATCCTCTTCTCTTCCCATCCACCTTCCTCAGCATTATGGACTTCTCAAGAGAGCTGGGTCTTCATGTGGATTGATTATGTACCGTCAAGTCACACAGATAGATTTCCTCCATGACAATCTGTCCCTAACCTGGTCCAGTGGTGGCCCCATCACCACTGTGACTGAGTCCATCCACCTTGCTGCTGCTCATCCTCCTCTTCTCTTTCCTTCCACCGTTCCCAGCATTATGGACCTCCCAAGGGAGCTGGGTCTGGGCACTGATGGACTGATTACGTTCTACCAAGTCAGTTTTGACTCTTAGCGACCGCAGAGATAGACCTCCTCCAGGATGATGTGTGTCCAGCCTGGTCTCTCAATGGTGCACCCATCGCCATTGTAACTAAATCCATCCACCTTGCTAAAACTTTTATAGAACTTCTATTTGATGACTATTTAAACACTTTTCACATTTTCAAATTTTGACATTTTATTTGACTACTTAAACTACTATTATTATTATTATTATTACGATTACAATTACTATTACTATTATTATTCTGCTTTGGATTACAACATACTGGAAATGATTGTGATGAGTGAATGACTTAGGATAGGTTGGTTGTATGTTTTTATATATACAGTAATTCAAAGGTACGAAGAGGGGAACATGTTACAGGAAAAGCTAAGACAATAAAGGGTTAAGAGAAGCGTCACTAGAAAGGAAAAAAAGGTTCTGAGCCAAGTTATGAGAAGAAAGAGAATTCCTGAAAACCCTTTTCTGATCAAGCCCGTAGACTCCCTGCGGCCATGGAAGGGAACCCCTCGATCAGGCGGACAGTGACCAGGCCTTGAGGAATGGCCAGGGCAGCATCTGTGATGCTGAGGCAACCCAGTGGTCAAGCTGAGGTCATCCAGCATTGCTTGTTACAAAAGAGGTGGAGAGAAGTCCCATCCTCCACTCCATCTAGGTCAGTCTTTCTCAATGTTGGCCACTTGAAGACGGGTGGACTTCAACTCCCAGAATTCCCCAGCCAACAT